ACGGACTCCGTTTGGACGAGTGGTGACCGCCAACAGACAGGAAAAGAGGGAAAAATAAAGAGGAATTAGTGATTTTCTTTGTATTTTTATAAAAATAAAAGGGAAACAGAAGTCGGCAAAAGTGATTCGTTGGAACCCAACTTTTAATTGACTACGAACTGGCGGAAAATTTTCAGTCTCGAGAAGTCGGACGAGGTGGCGTGCGGTCGCGCGCAAATCAGCAAAACCCTAATTGGGGGAAACGCTGATTAGGATAAACCCTAACCCTAAGTTAGGGAAACGCGGTGCGTCGCCGGGCGGATATAAGTCCTTCTAACCGACCGGCGAGGGGAAAATTCTGTATAAATCCCGTCGATCAAATAGAAATTAATCAATATTGGAAATTTTGTTGTATAAAATAATCTAATTTTGCTTTAAGTAATAATTTGTCGTTTAAAATCAATAAAGAAATCGAAGTAAAAATATAAAAACTCTTCAAGAAAAGGGGAACCGGCTTTATTTCGACTTTGTGATTTGGAAGGCCTTCAGCCACACCCCATCCCCACGGGGGGGAGGCGAAGTGCTGCCGAAATTTCTCGGAAATTTACTGAATTATTATTATTTTTAATTTTAAATAATTAAGTAAAATATCCAAAGATTCATATTACTTTTTGGGAATATTTTCCTTTTACTATACTTTGCTGCGGGCGTTTTTGAGGCCTTCGGCCACACCCCATCCTCACGGGGGGAGGCGAAGTGCTGCCGAAATTTCTCGGCAATTTACTGAATCTTGTCCAATTAAATCTTAAAAAAAATTAAAGAAAATACTCGAAAATTTATATTTCCTTTTTGTTATTATCCCTTTTACCGAATTCCTGCGGCGACTACTTTTTGAGATCTTCGGCCAACCCCTACCTTAACAGGGGGGAGCCAAAGTGTTGCCGGTAGCAAAATCTTGATTTCAGTTCTAGGAAGGTAGCGTTTGCCTAGGGACAATAGTCCCGAGCCCGATCCCAACGGGGGGAGGCGAAACGCTGCCGAAATTTTTTGTAAAATTGTTAAAATTTTATTTTTCCCCTAAAAAGCATCAAACTCGGCAGGCTTATAAATGTGGTTATCCACGAGGGGTGAAAAATAAGAGAGGGATTTTATCTTAGCTAGATACATTTTTCTTTAAATTTTAATTGAAAAATACAAAGAATTGCCTTAAGAAGGAGCGTAAGGGGCGTTGCCGTAGGGAAGACAACGTAACTTGTCCCCAAAGGAGTGGAGCAAGTGACAGGCTGTCAGTTGGATGAGGCCGCAGGTGCAAGAAGAGGTCTATGGGGCCACGATTGATTTGGACTTGGAGCCCCCTGAACTCATAGAAGGAGATCTAGTCGAGCTCACGATCCCTGGTCGCGCAATTCGACACTTTGACGGTCAGTTTGCGTGGAGGTCCGTAATCTTGTCGCAAGACACGTGGCTATGGACGTACAGGGAGCACCGGCCGTCGGAAGGAGTAGGCGTAGTGAGGGCCTACTTGTATTTAGGACCGGATGCGATCAGGGAGACTGTAGTGGGCCTCGCGACGACAGGGAGTAGTTATGCGGTTAGCAGGGCGCTACGCTACCTAGGGGAAGAGGTGGCTGCTTTCCGAGCGGAGGACGCGAGCGACCCGTTGACCTTATTTCACGGACGCCCTCCTCTTGATATCACAGGCGAGCTCGTAATAGCACGGGACGAGTTTTTCCCGTACAGCGTTAGGAGCCTACGGGCGATAGTTCCGACGTTCGTAGTGGAGAGCGTCTTCGGAGGTATTGGTGGAGTGGTCGAGACATACCTGGCTTATCAGGATCTCAAGATCCTGGCGAGAAGACCTGCCGACCTGGACTATATCTATTATTCGCTTGCGACCGGTGGGCCTCGTTGGGGAGACGAGAGGGTTCAGCTTATAGAGCTGATCCGCTCGATAGACGACGAGTGGCCCCAGCCTTCGTACGTTTCGGATTGGCTAGACCGTGAGCTCCGAGCAGGCCCCGAGTACGTGACTTGCATCGGGCGGCTCATCTCAGACGACTGGGGGAGCTGGTGGAATGAGGACGCCGGGCGACCTCTGATATACGGCCATCAGTTGACGGAATACTACCAGGCTATAGGACAGGCGCCATACCGCTTCGAGGACGAGTTTGACGACGAGGGTTGGGAGCGAGAAGACGACGAGGAGCTGTGGGAGCCAGACTGGGTCGACCCAGATAGTAAGGTTGACGAGGAGGAGATTGACGTTATAGACGCCCATTTTCCCAGGATAGGAGTAGCGGTTCGGGCGTAGGAGGCAAAGGAGCGCACCACGACGACGGTTGAGTGAGCCTAGGTACTGAACCTATTCAACCATACTGGACCTAAGTACGAGAGTTGTCAGAAGGGTCAGCAACGTCGAGAGATGGGGTGTATCGGGGGGAGTAGAGAGATGCTGACCGAGAGTAGAAGAAGAAATGAGGAGTGATTCAGCGGCCTGGTTAGCTTATGTTTTCTCAAGAGAGTCCGAATCGTATAGTGTGAGGGAGCTTGTGGGGCCTAGAGAGACGGCGATTGGACATGACATACCCCTTCCTGTGGCGTTGGAAGGGACGGAGCGAGTGCCTATACGACACCTGGGGACGTGGCTCGCAGAGGGGCTGTTCCTCTGGACGGTGATACTACGAGACGAACGACCCGAGAGGACTCATGATCTAGAAGGGGTCGGACATCTGCTGGCCGACAGAGCGTACGATTTGGAGATAGGACTAACACTCGCAGGAGCGAGCAAGAGCTGGTGGAAGCGCGAGTTATTGGCCAGAGCGATCGTTAATCAGCAAGTGGCGAGACGCTCTGGAGGCAGGACAAGTTGGAGTCACTTAGTATACGGTCCACCGCATCCAAGCCTTTACCCGAGAGAGGCTTGCCGATTCGGGCTTCCTACTTTCGTGATAGGGCAGACCTATGAGAGCGTCAATCGTTTAAGCAGAGCAGTGGACCACACACTTTACGTGCTCTGGGAGGGCTTAGCGCCCCGTTTCAAGGAAGTATACTACGCCATTTGTGTGAGGTGGGGGCCGCCCAGTAAGGAGACGCTTAATGACATCTTGGATGTTACCAACTGGGTGGACTGTCTGAGGCCGATCGATTTGATTAGGTACTGCAGGAGACGGGCAGAGATCGATTACGAAGGGCTAGAGGAAGCGAGATTTCTCTTCGAGGCAGCAGCTTAGGGAATGCCGGGAAGGACGMCTAYGGYGATGCGGGTGGAGGAGCAACTGGTAAGCGCAGGATACACGGTGACAGTACTTCTCCGAGCCTACTTAGACGAGGACTTGACGGCGAGCGAGTGCAGACAACGAGCCAAAGATTTGATCTACGAGCGCAGAGCAGGTGTACTTGAGCGAGTGACCTTCCAGACCTCAATCACCTATGACGTGATGGTATGGTCTCGTGGTTATATGCGAGCAGAGCACTTCCACGACGAGAYCGTAGCGGAAGCTAGAGCGAGRGTAGGAGGATGAGCTGGAAAGAGATGTGGGCTGAGTATGGARGAGGAGAACGAGGCAGTAGAGAGAGTAAGAAAGCGTATTAAGGAACCGCTCTTGGGCCGAGTAAAGAAGCTGGGGGACAAGTTAAGAAAAATCTGGTCATGTCAGGATGAGGTCAAGTTGTGTAGGGCAGAACTAGCAACGAGAGAGTTAGAAAATCTTTTTAGGGAGGAAAGAGAGAGAATCCAGGCGTGGAGGTCAGACTTTCTGGAGAGAGTAAAGACAAGAAGCGTATCACGTGGAGAGACGAGTGAGCGATCTGAGAAGAGTGAGACAAAGGAGGACAAAGTGACGCAGGGGAGTAGCGACAAGATATGAGCGGAACAGCAGTCCACACGACGGATCGGTACTCATTGCATGTGGTAGGGAGATTAGACGGACCATTGGTGTTAATGATCGTAGAGCTCCAACTCCATAGTAGATTATGCATAGTTGAGGAAGCGGAGTGTGTTCGACGTGCCCTGCGTGAGGCTAGGGGGACAGGACTTTGGATCGGATTAGAAGGAGGACGGAGGATAAAATGCGTGCTACGAGTGACACCCTTTGAAGGACGGTCGCGGATAAGGGCATGGTATGAGACGACCAGAGAGGCTGAGAGGTTGAAGATAAGCGAGCCCAGGAAAGCTGGGGAGTTAGGGAGAGTTGTAACAGACGGTGCCATACTCATGGTGTTAGCTGCTCACAATAGGTACTGGAAGGAGACGATAAGGACTTTAGAAACCATAGAGGATGATGGAGATAAGGAGGATTTTGAGACGTTCTATGACATATTGGAGCAGTCGGCGATGAGGTTACAAGTGATTATAGCACTGA